TCCTGTAACAGGGTGGGGACAGCCCCCTAAAACAGCGGTTTCGGGCTTAGGTTTACGGTGCAGGATTTCGTAGTTTGCGGCTTAGGGCTTAGGGTCTACGCAGGCTTCAGCACGCTGTACACTTTTGCATCCTTATGTCCTTATGGTGTCTAAAGGGATGTGTAAGGCATACTAATTAGGCATCTTTGGACATTCTGACATTCTCCCTTGCCTGTCCTTGAGGGACAGTTTTCGGTCCCTTACAATGTGAGCGGAAAAGCCTCCTGCCAGGTTTCCGGTGGTAATTGCGCTGGTCGTCTGGTTGCTGTTGCTGCTGCCGCCCGTTTCTGTTACAAGTGTGCGAGATCGGTTTCCGCTACTCCCAAAACGGCTCCCGTTACTCTCCCCACCCGACGGCCCGGCGGTGCCCGGAGCTGAGCAGCCACCACTCTCGTTTGCCCCTGTGACTCCAGGCCGTAAGGCAGTGATGGAGGTCATCTTGCCCTTCATGGAGGACCTTTCTGGAAAGAGACGAACTTCTGCGTATGTCTAGGGGAAATTGTCATTTTGTTGTAGAACTGTTGTAGAAAACATAGCCTGCGATGTTGAAGTGACAATTCCCTAGCATGGTCGGTAGGAATTTGTCAACTGGTGTTGATCGGTTTAGGTAGGTGAGATCGGAACAGGTGGGGGGCTTTGTAGGGACCTCGGAGTCGTTCCTCTTGGAGCTGTGGCACCTGCCACTTCCGGCGGGCCTGTCGGCTTCATGCCGCTTGCACCTGTTGTCTTGAACGGGATCCGACGGAGGCCGAGCTCAATGCGATCACAGACCTGAATCTTAGGGCCGCCTTGGGCAGCCTCAAAAGGTGTGTGACATCGCCCTCATTCCCCGCCTGCCTTGGGATGGTGCGATCGAGGCCCTTCGGGTTCAGGGACTGGATGCCGATGGCAATGCCGAAGGAGCTCCTCGTGAGACATCTTTGGTGGAGGGCACGCCTGGAATCAGTGAGGCGAGTCAGCTTGCTTCGTATGGGGGCCACGCCGGCCGGGCCAGCCCCCGTAGCAGGGCCCCCAGCGAGCCCGGCTGCCACAGGATCGCGCAAGCTCAAGCTGTCGGCCGTCCTGGATCCCACTTTGGATGCCGACGTGACTGCCATGGAGCACAGCGAGCTGCAGCGCCTGTACTCGGACTACAAGACGAGGTATGGCGACTTCCCGGCTCCGGAAAGCGACCCTTCAGCTGACCAGCTGGCAGCCTTCAAGCAGGTCATACAAGCGGGGCTTCGCCTTACACGGACTTCTCGCTGTTTGGCCCGCACGGGCTCCGGTTGCTTCGGAAACAATCTTTTAACTCGTATGTCCTCAATGCCGCCACGGTGGAATGGACCAAGAAAGAACAGCCTGGGCCGAACAGCTTTCACGCTTGGTTCGAAGCCTGGAAAGTCCTCCGCACGGCCATGAATGTGTGGACGCGGAGCGCCTCGACTCCGATGCCGAGCACATCAGGTCCTACGTCACTCAGTTTGGCGACGTCGCGTGGTGGATCATCTATCGAGCCGAGAACCGCATGCGAGCGGAGCAGATGGAGCGGCTAAGGCACAAACTCCTCCGGAGTTTGGGTTCACGGAAGCCCGCCCCTGGAATGCTGTGTATGCGGCTGCGATCAAGGATACGGAGTTTTGGGCACGAGAACTGGTGACACCGGCCACGCTGTGGTTGTCACAACGGGCTGAGCCCGCGCCTCCCGCTCCATGGTGCCGATGACGAAGTCTTTCGCAGACCATCGGGCAGGTCAAAGCGCAAGTACACAGGCGAGGACCAGAGCACCAGGCCGGCGACGTGATCAGTGCAACGTGTGCCTGCAACCTCACCAGGCCCAGGCATTGTGGAATGCTGAGTTGAGGGCGGGGTGGACGCTTCCCAGAGCGCTTCCTCTCAGCCCTCGGCTGGGGACGCTTCTGGGGCACCGCCGTCCGCGTCATCAACTGCTGCCACGGTGGGTCGCAAAGACTATTTGCCCCCGACCCCGACGGTTCGCTCGGCAAAGCCTGTGCGGAGGCTGGACGACACAGCCACGGCAACACAGCGCTCGACCGCTGCCGGCCTGAGGACGATTGCCCGGCATCCACCAGGCAGTCGCGGTCCGGCTCACATGATCCCGCCTGCGATTTCTATGATAGAAGGACCGTCGTCCTGTAATCAGGGCGGGCCCGTCGAGGCGACCGCTACGGTTTCTTGGTGTGTGCCATCGACGCGGAAGTTGACCTGCTCGACGAAGCTCTCTTCACTCCGCTCTACCAAGACGTCTACAAAGGCAAGTTTTCGGTGGCTTGCGCCGGCTTTCTGCGGGAGCTTCTCGCCGTTCCGCGAAGAGAGACCAGCGTATCGAGGGCCTGCCGGATCCGACTTGGGCAAGAAGGAGAAAGAAAAGCTGTGCGAGGCCAACCTGCTGGTGGAGCGCACTGCGGATGTCCTCAGCGTTATGTGGGAGCAGCGCACCGCCTGGGGATTGGAGAACCCCGACCGTCGAGGGAGGCCGAGAGCATGAGGGCTTTGGGTGGTTCAGGAATCCCCGCCCATGCCTTGGAGAGGCTGCCGCGCTCCAAAGCTCTTTTGAGGAGCAAGCCATCCATGTATGGCCCAAGCTTCTGGGCCCGAGAGTGGCTATTCTCTGTGGGGAAGAGCCGGCGAAACTCAACACCCTGTGGTCGAGTCGGTGCGGTCCGCCGTGCTCACAGCCGGACTGCGCCAGCCAGCGCTGCGATGCAGGCAGCGGTCCTCGAAGCGTGGGGCCTCGCGACAGACGACCCGGGTGCTGAGGTTCTCTCAGAGTGGTGGGACCGTGCAGCGAGATTACTTGCAGACACACCTGTGCTTAACAAACTGGGAGTGATCGTCAAGGATAAAGTGGACTCCCGAGGCAGGCCAGTGCGCAAAGCCCGCGCGATCTGGGACTTACGGGAGTCACATTTCAATCAGGCTTGCTGCCAGGGCGAACGCATTCTGCTTCCTCGCCTCCTCGACGTCGTGCTTTCCTTGCTCAACGTGTACCGCAAGGGTGGCAAACCTTATTTGGCAGGCATGGATATACGCGATGCGTTTATGGATATCCCAGCAGGAGCCGACTGCAAGTACACTGCAGCGGCGGTTCCAGGGGCCATCGCGGTGTTCGACACCCTGGTTTTCGGCTCCACCTCCTCGCCAACACGTTGGGGACGCATGGCTGCTTGGCTTGGTCGCAGCGCCGCCGCAGTCACGAACACGGACCCCCAGTGCTATGTCGATGACCCCATCTTCGTGCTCTTCGGCCCTATAGGGGCTGCGGCCAAGGACTTGACAGTGGCGCTACTGTGGGTAGCCTCGGCAAGGCCAACGGAGGCAAGGTCATCGACTGGGTCGGGGCTCGCGTCGAGTGCCGTGATGACGAACAGACCGTCGTCGTCACGCTCCCGGCGCAGAAGATGTCGCAGCTCGCCGAGCAGGTTGAGAAGATGCTGGGCCGCGCCGTTGTGGGAGCCCGTGAGCTCAGGTCACTGGCCGGTTCACTGTCTTTCGTCGCTGGTCTGGTTCCGCACCTTCGCCCGTTCCTTTCGACATTCTGGGCGGTGCTCACCAAGTTTGAATTGACGAGTGAAGGCAAGCCGTTTGACAAGGCTCGAAAGTTGATTCATACGAGGCGCATCGCCCGGACTCAGATGGGTGCGCGTTGCTGCAAGCTGGCACGCTTCGGAAGACATTCCTGGCCAACCCGCCGCGCGCGGACTTCGAAATAGTGACAGACGCGTCCGCGTGGGGCGTCGGCGGCATCTTGCGATGCAACGGTGAGGCCCGCGAGCTATTCTTGTCGTGCCTCCCTGACACCGTTCTCCACAAGTTTGGAGCTGAGCGCGGCGTGTCAAAATTTAACACGCTCTGGGAGGGACTGGGACTCCTAATCGCGTTCCGCTTGTGGCTGCCTTCGCTCCCCTACGGGCCTGCCTACCGGGCAAAGTCCGACAACTTGGGTTTCTTACGAGCCCTTGCTAGAGGCAGCGCAAAATCTCCTGCACTCAATGTGCTGGGCCGTGAGTTCGGCTGCGGTCGTACCAAGTCCGGTCGTACCAAGTCCGAGGCCTCTCGCGCATTCCGGGCATCAGCAATGTTCAAGCCGATGCTTTGTCAAGGCTTTTCTCCCCAGAGCCGAAGCACTTGCCTCCGGAACTGGAGCACGTGCCGGCCCAAGCAGTCGACTTCGCGGCTGACTTTTAGAAAGTGTGACAACGTTTGCTTTTTCTGGGTGTTGCGGGAGGGCTGAGTTGATTCCGGCTGCTACCTCCGATGAGTTTGTTGCAGTACCGTGCGTGCCTTTTCCCGGATTCTCGCTTTCCTCTCAAGGGCCTGGCATCTACGCGGCCCTGCCTTCTTGGGCGGCTGCTGAGGAGGCCAGCGAGCAATGCGAGCAACTCGATCTGTTTTAGCACTAGGGCCATGTAAAGCTGCTTTCCAAACTGCAAAACCTGAAAAGACTTTCACGCCGTTTGCGGGAGGGCACCCAACGGTTTGCCCCATTTCGGGGGAGGGAGGGCTTCCATCGGACCCTTTTCCCGTTTCCCTCCCTTTGGCATGTGGCCAAGACAGGGTTTCCTGTGCTTTATCAGCATGGGGAGCTCTTGCATTCCTCCCGCGCGATAGCTACGTGATGTAACTCGGTTCCTATAGTTTACATTGGGAACGCTTCAAAACATGGGAGCTATTTTGCTTACTTTCGGCAAACAGGGCCCGAAGAGTGGGAGCTGTTTGCTTACTTTCGGCAAACAGGGCCCGAAGAGTGGGAGCTGTTTGCTTACTTTCGGCAACTGGGGCCCAGAAGGTGGGAGCAGTTTGCACACTTTCAGCAGCAAGGAACCGGATAGTGGGGGAGGTTGCGATCACTCAGCTCAAAGTTCCAACTTACTTAGATACCCGCCGTTTTACCATATTCACCCACGCGAACCAAACACGCCAGATGCAGGTGGGGGGTGCTACGTCCTTTTTGTGTCAGGTAATGTGGGTGATATCTTGCCCTCCTGAGTTTCGGGGCAGTTAAACCTTGATCCGATTAGCAGGAAGCCTGACCTGACGACCAAAGCGTCCCTCCCCCGCCTGCGCGTCCCCATGTCCTATGACGGTTGTTTGGGGAGCGGTCTAGGAATTGTCGTAGAAAACATAGCCTGCGATGTTGAAGTGATAATTGCCTAGCGTGATCGGTGGGAAATTGTCAACTGGTGTTGATCGTGGCCATTTTTGGGTCAGGATCTCACCGAACGATTTACCCACCGGGTGATATCTTGCCCTCCTGAGTTTTCGGAGCAGCTAAACCCTGATCCGATTAGCAGGAAGCGCGACCTGACGACCAACATCGAATAGAATGAGCGTCCCTCCAGCGCATGCGCGTCCCCATGTCCTATGGCGGTTGTTTGGGGAGCGGTTTAGCAATTGTCGAGTTGTGCTTTCATTCTTGGCAGTGATGCGTCGTGTGCTATTGTGAGTGAAGGACATGACCAACACGGATCCGGAGCGGGCTCTGCGACTGGTGGACCATGTGGAGTTTGCCAAGTATGCGTAGCTGGGATGTCCTAGAAGTCTTTTTTTTTGGAGGGGCGTGTTGCGGACAGTTTGATGAATCTGAGGCACGTCCTGGAACAGAAGGAAACGAGCCAGAAGCACCAGAGGCTGAAACTGGATAATGGGCATTTGCGCATCGAGGCCTCGAGCTCGCCGTTCGACTGGGGGCGGGACCACCATTGCACCTGCAGGATGTGGGAGATATGAGTGACCAAGACGAAGATGACCTGGAGGACTTGCTTTCGAAATGTAAGGCCTGCGTTTGTAGAAACGGTCGGAGGGCCCTGGCTTCGAGTGCCGTGCGACGCAAAGGACGACCCAGAAAGAGTCCAACTGGCAGGGGCGACAGCCGCAAAGGTGCGGGCAGAGCAGGAGCCGGCCATGCGGGGCCATGCAGTCATGCCATGCAGTCGCGACACACAGCACACGACCGTTTGTGCAGTGCAACACAGTTGAGCTGTGCAGGGGAGATCCCTTTTGTCGCTGACTCTGAATGAGACGGGAAACGACGTGGCCCGGCATGGCCCGGCAGCCGGAACTGTAAAGCGCTCAAGAGCGGGATGGTACAGGGTTTACACTAATCTGTCAAATGCCAATATTGATTTGTTAAAGATGTTTTCAGATATCGGGTCTTCCCACTACAGGGCCAAAATGCTAGTTCTCACGGCGGGCTTCTGGTCTTGATTGAGGTAGTCTCTTTTTCGCAAGTAACCCCCCATCCCATCCCACTAACAACATTTCACTGTGTGGAAGTTGCCGAGGTTTCCCCTCACTCGTGCGTGGGGAAAACCGTGGCGCTGTGGAATCATGCCCATCAGCACTACATGCGCTGCTTAGCCTGGGCACAAGTTTTACTCTCTTTCTTATTCCTGATGCAAGGGATGTAGATCTCTTTGTCTGAAGCTGTTCAAATTTCTTATGGAAACGGCCACACGGTCTTGAACCCCTAAGCCTGTAGGCCCACTTACTCTGCAGGTCTTGCTATGTGAAGTGTTTGGGATGCCCCTGCTTCAGGGATGCCTGTGGCCTTGCCCAGTCTGCCAAGGTATGTCTGATCACAGGGTGGAGAGGGGAGCGCATGGATGGAGGGATTGGGACGACATGCCGTACAGCTGGACATGGGAAAGGTTTGTGTGCGTGGACATCGGTAATGGAGAGATCGCTTTCCACAACACACAGTGGAACCGCTTTTTGCGCTTGAACAACCACGGCAAGGTGGACAGAAGTAGCGAGTGCAGTCGAGATTTCCTTCCAAGTCATTGGCATTGGGAGCGGTTCAAGTTGAAAGATATGGGGAACGGCCACTTCGCATTGTGGAGCACAGCATGGAACAAGTTCGTTAAGATGGACCATCACTCTGTAGCTCTGAAGCAAGGTGTGGATGCGCTTAGATTGTGTGTGTGTGTGTGCATGCCTGAACATGGCGATTATGATAACAGCTTTTTTTCATTAGAGCAGGGGAGTGTGGCACTTGCATCCTACCACACTCAACGAAGCTGCGGATGCAAGTGGGAAGCAAGACCTGATCAGTCTTGTGTACCTGCTTTCGGATCAGCCAGTGGGCCCCCCTGTGGCACTGGGGTAGCCAATCTTAGAATGCATCTCTGCATGGTTGCTGCTCGCATCATTTAGGCCAGGGTTCATCGCATCAGTGCTAGCCATGCCTGAGTGTGTGGGTGTGTGTCTGTGCGTGTGTGTGTGTGTGTGAGAACCTCCCTAGTACATGGGAGCAGAGGGTCACTCTTGATTTTACGTTTTGGTCACCATGTCATGAACTTGCTTGCGTGGAAAACAATTTTGTCAACATTTTTGCAAAGCATTCGTGCAGGGGGACACAGCATGTCACTGGGACTCTGTCCAACGAAGCTACCAGTGACATGGGAAGAGAGGACTGATCATCCTCTTGTGCCTGCACAAAAGCTGGGGCCCCTGAGCCAGCAAGATTAGCAGGCCCCTGTGCCAAGATTAGAGTTTTGTCACGTTGCCACAGTTGTCGGTTGAACACGCAATCAGCATGTGCAACATGCCTCACCCTTCTCCTTGCCTTCCTTCTTTCTTTTTTTTGGGGAGGCCTTTCGCGCTGCAGCTTAGTCTGCGCGCGCTTTGGCGCCAACTCTGAAAGAGGCTTCTGCAATGCCCGCTTGACGAGTATATATCTCCAGTGTGGATTCTTAGGGGCGGTGTGGTTAAGAAGACCTGGGAAGTGGGTTCGGGTAACGTGGTCAATCCAGTACGGAAAGGGCATACCACGTCTACGGCCTTGATAGAGTATCCTATCCTTATTGGCAGACGAGAAGACTACGTTGTGCAGGGGGCTCTCCTGGGGTGTACTGTAGACTTCTTGTAGCATCTTAAACTGCAGCTCGGCGATGATGTCTGAGGGCAACTTGGGGTGCTTAGCCTTATTATA